ACCCGAGCCGACCTCGGCCCGACCCGATGTTGGGCCAGGAAAGTCCCGGCCCTGTACCCCCAGTCGGGTCAGGGTATTCAACATCCTGGTCTGGGGCTGGCCCGACCCGACCCGGAAACCTGCTTGGCCCAGCAAAGTCGGGTTGGGTCGAGCCAGACGCCTACTTTTTGGCCCGCCCGTTTAGGGGTGGACTGAGCCGGCCTGTCTCGAGGTGCGGCCTTGGTCGGGCCGTTTTGGCCCGCTTTTGACACAAGCCCCGCTTTCATTGAGGCTCATCACAGCGTATGGTAGGAAGTATATGAGAACCATATTAGTTTCAAAACTAACGAGAGCAAGAGCTGAAACTAGGCCAGTATGGTTTATGCCTACATGGCTAGACATAATCGAGATGGAATTGAGAGGGTTTGCGCTGGGCATTATTCTCGCTTTGATAGCCATGGCTCGTTTGTTTGAGTTGAACCGAGCTTGGTCTGCCACAATCCTAGGAAGCCTCATGATGAAGGGACCAATTTTGCCACTATCAGCCTTTTTCACCATAAGAAATGTCTTCAGGGAAGGCATGAAAGACTAGGTGCGGAGAGTCACTCTACAACGGTAGTGAGCTAGACTACGGGGGTTGGCACGAACTACTAGGAGTGATCATAGCTCTGCTTAGTTCTTTAGCGCTTGCACATTCACGGGAGAAATCGGCAAGAGTTTCCACTAGCAAAGTCGAAATTACAGAATTGATTCAACAAACAACGACAACAATGACTACATCACACACCTAGCAACTCTGCAGCTAGCCTGGTCGACTGCCAACAGTGCATGGTCGACCGCCTGCCAGCGTTGCGTAGAGGAACCGTGCCAGCACTGCCGAAAGGCGACCTGCCAATATAACAGGTCGACGGTGTGCCAAGGCTGCAGCAGAGCGGCTGTCCAGCGTTGCCCCGTAGAAGACAACAGTGCGTATGCTCGCAGGTGCGCGCAAACGATTGGCCCGACTCGCCTCGTTGTGCATCCATTGGCTATTGTCTGCGCCTGACGATCCACATCGACTTTGGGTTACCGGCCCGAAGTCGCCTTCGCCATTGCGACCTCGACGACGTTCGCGTGCCTCCGCAGAACTCGTCGAGTAGGTTACTCGGTCGACCTGGTCGACCACCAACTGCTCTGGTTGACCACCAAGTGCCTCTAGTGGACTACAGCTCCTGTCGAGCTACCCCCTGGTCGACGGACCCCTTCCGTTGACCAGAATTGTCAGCGGTTGACGCCGAGCTCCCCTCGTCGACCACTGCTCACTTGTCAGGTCGACGGACAGCTCCGTCGGCCTCCCGGTCGAATTGCCCGTCCTGGTCGACGGCCCACCCGTCGCCCAGCCCAATCAGCTGCAGCTGTCAAGCTCCCTGGTCGACAGCAGCGCCACAGCGGTCCCCTGCAGCTCGACGAAGCCTGTTGAGCAGCTCTCCTATTATGAGCGGTCGGCTGCTTCTCCCGTACATCCGACCAAGTCATCAGCGTTGCCCAGCGAGGGCGGGGCCAACACTCCTCTTCCATCAACACTAGGCACGAGCATAGGTCTAAGACAAGCTGGCTTGGTTCAAGTTGCCATGAGCCGGTGCGCTGATGAGCCAGTCGGGCAGCTGACCAAGCTCGTGGCTCGTCCATTATAGACAAGCATGCGTTGCTTACACGGTTTTGGTATTTTACTGCTTCGGGTGAATCTTGCATTTCAGCTTTGGATTTGCTTCGAGTTTCACATCTGGGTAAGAGAGGGTCTTGGCTTATCGAGATCGGTTTGATCTCAACCAGTTGATACTCGGATTGCCAGCTTGTCTTGACTCAATTGTCATCGTGGACCCGTGTTTCAAAAAAGGTGGAATAAAGAATGAGCTCCAACTATCTCAATCCAAGGTTTATATTTTTCCATAGGATTCAAGGGCCATCTTGGTCTGCCTGACAACCAGCCTGGATTATCAAGCATATTCTTGCCCAGTTCGGGCCAGCTGAGTTCGACCAGCTTGTGGCCGGCTGGTGAAAGAATAAGTTCAACGGGTCGGCAAGCCGGGTCTCGGCTCGTCGGGCCAGCTCGATAACTCGGGGTCAGCCGGCAGAGCAGGATTGCTGGGTCTGCTTGACTCAATTGTCAGCTTAGGCCTGTACTTGTGATTGAACGCGAAATTGAGCTCCTAGTTTGACACATTGCGGGATAATATGTGTCGGGTGTCTTGTGCCCTTGTCCGGCAGCAGTGGTGGGGTTTGTCATGGGCCACGGGATTGAAGCAGCCTGGTTTTCCAGGCATGTACCTTCTCACTGAGGACCAAAACGACTCAAGCATTCTGACATCAGAACAGTTCAAGTAGTGCGGGCTGGCCGGTGAAAGTCAGGGCACCGTTTGACCTTTGATAAACCAGTTTGGCACAAGTCACAAGGGAACCTGCCCTTGGTCATGTTGTAGTGAAAGGCATAAATTTCAAGCATGAGTAGCCCATCTTTTGCGTCTTTGATGAGTCAATGTGCTCTTAAATTGGTCTTCAATTTCCCTGTCCCCTAAAGGTTTTCCACATACTTGAGCACAGCCTCAAGCTGTATGTGAGGGGAGAGACGCATTGGATTGCGAGCATGAGCAGTCCATCTTCTGTGTATTTGATGTGTCAATGTGTTCATAAATTGGTCTTCAATTTCCCTCTTTAGGAGTCCCCTAAAGGTTTGCCACATACTGAGCACGGCCTTAAGTTGCGTGTGAGGGGAGAGAAGACGCACTGGGATGCGAGCATGGGTAGTCCATTTTTTGCATTTATGATGCGTCAATGTTCTCTTACTAGATCTGTCTTCGCTTTCTCTCTTTGGAAAAGAAAACGCACGGAATGCAGGACATTCACAACAAAGTAGAGTTGAGCATGTGGCCTGACCCGACCCGATTTGGCCGGGCCATTCGGGCCCTCGGGTCGGGTCGGGTCGGGCCGGGTTCGGGCCAGATTCCTGAAACAGCTGGCCCGACCCGGGCCTAAGAACCCGGGTCAGAGGTTACCCGAGTTCGGGTCGGGCCGGGTCGGGTCGGGTCAGGAAATCCGATTTCGCCCGCGCTCTGTGCAGATCGGCGCTTTCGTCCGCCGATATGCGCAGATCGGCGATTTCTCCCGCCGATCTGCGCGGATCGGCGATTTCTCCCGCCGATATGCGCGGATCGGCGATTTCTCCCGCCGATCTGCGCAGATCGGCGATTTCTCCCGCCGATCTGCGCAGATCGGCGATTTCGCTTGCCGATATGGGCAGATCGGGGCTTTCGTCCGCCGATCTGCGCAGATCGATGAGTTCGTTGGCGTAACTCTGTCAATTTCGCTGGTCGATCTGGTGGAGATTGGGAGTTTCGCCGTGACACTCGTTTCCGACGAATGTGTTGGAACAAATATTTCCAACCAATTCGCCATTGCTCACCACTCCTTACCGCATTAAATCTACCATTCCCAACCCTCCCCCTCCCACTCTTTACAAATCTCTCGACATCGAGCCTCTCCACAAAGTCGTCTTCTAACTCGTCGCATCATTCTTTGGCTGCAAACTAAGTAGTTATGGTTCCTAGGTGCTTTTGGTCGCTGGAGGAAGGATATTAGGTTTGCGGTAATGAATTGATGTCGAGGGGAAAAACATACCCTTGAAATAGAATGTGTTAGGGTTTCGGGTCCCCCCTGTGTCGAAATAGGGTCGGGTCTGACCCTACCCGATTTCCCAAATCTTGACCCGATTTCGGGTCGGGTCAAAGCTGACCTGAAACCCGACCTGACTCGGCCTGAGTCTCATGCTCGGGTCGGGTTTTGGCCCGGGTCGGGTCGGGTTGGCCCGCACGGGGCAGGCAATTGAAACCGCTGACCCGACCCGGGCTAAACCACGGGTCGGGTCGGGCCGGCCCGACCCGAGAGGGGCAAATGCTCATCTCTACAACAAAGGCAACATCCTAGACCACCATGGGTAGCTAACTGGGATCAGTATGGAAGAAGCCTCACCATCTACTTCTAGGTACTGGGGTCTGCCGCCTACCTCTGCACATTAGCCTCATGATAGGGTCTTGCAATTTCCAAGCGACAAGATACATGGGAAAGGGATGTTCTGGCTGTTCCTCATGTTCAAATGAGAGTGAAATTCTACGAAATCAAGCTCGTAGCGAAGGTCAAAGACCCAAAGCCACGATATATAGGCTGCCATCAGTTTGATCATACCCAAATAAAGTCATCAGACCAGCCATTCTCAAGCTGCCATCATCGTTGGTCAAATCTGAGCCATCCCTCAACTCTCCTTTTCGCTAGAGAAAAAAAAAAACGGAATGTCTTGCCAACGCTGCTGGCCTACAGACTTTCCTTCACAAAATCAATTTGTTCAAATGCAGACAGTGAAGACATTATGCGATGGAGTATGCTGTTTTTAAGCATTGTGCATGCACAGCTGTTTCAGGTCATAGTTGTATCCTGCTGTGCCTTTCCACCAACACAAACATTGTGTACTCTATATCCTTTTCTCCTGCTTCTGAATGTGTACACATTTGCATGCTTGCCATGAGGCGCAAGTTGTCTTCATTTATTTCCACCCATAATATACTTTCCTTGCTTAACCATCAGAGATCTCACGTACAACGCTCTGAGAGGGTCTATTCCATCCACCATCGGCAAAATGAGCAGCCTCAAAAGATTGTGAGTATCGGCAAGGAATCCAGAAAGAGAGCCCTAACTGACCTCGCACAGATTCGTACATACAGGGGCCTCTGATGGTGTGATTTGAGCAACTTGTTTTGAGAACGAGCATACAAGCTTTGCATGAGGAGGAGGGAGTCTGCACCAGCGCAAATGTGAATTGAGATCCACTGGGGATGGAAGGTGCCCCTGAACTGGTGGAGGGAGAATACACTCATTCCTCCTGTGTGACCACAGCGACATGTCACTGTTGTGAGCCGGGTCCATCTCGTCAATCACAGTGGTGAGGATTTGCTGCGAATCTCTCCACATTAGCCTCACTATATGGTCCCGAAATGTTCAGGCGGTAAGATACATGGGCAAGGTTATGAGGCCCCCTAACTGAGCCTCCAGATTTCAGTTTTGTGGACATTGAGTCAATCCTCCCTCCCGCGGCCTCAATCCTCCCTCCCGTGGCCTCAAACCGCTTCCCCATGGCAGCAATCCTCCCTCCCGCCGCCACGCCTCAATCTGCCCGCCGACGCGTCCGACCTGCGCGCCGACGCGGACGACCAGCGCGGCGACGCGGACGACCTGCGCGCCGACGCGGACGACCTGCGCGCCGCCGCGGACGAACAGTGCGCGGTCGCCGACGACCTACACACCGACGCGGACGGCCAGCGCGCGACCACCGACGACCCGCGCGCCGATGTGGACGGCCAGCGCACAACCGCCGACGACCCACGCGCTGACGCGGACGGCCAGCGCACGACCGCCGACGACCCCGCGCACTGACGCGGACGGCCAGCGCGCGACCGCCAACGACCCTCGCGCTTACACGGACGGCCAGCGCGCGACCACTGACGGCCCCGCGCGGAGCCGCGTCCGACCTGCGCGTCGGCGCGGACGGCCAGCGTGGAGCAGCGGCTGACATGCGCGCCCTCGCGGACGGCTGCCCGCGATCGCCACGACCCCCCCCTTCACCCGCGCCCTGCCCCACACTTCCGCGCCAACCTCCCTCCCCCTACTCCACCCTCCACGGCACCAGCAGCGGCACCGTCAACGGCACCAGCAGCGGCACCGTCATCGGCACCAGCAGCGGCACCTTCAACGGCACCAGCAGCGGCACCGTCAACGGCACCAGCAACGGCACCGTCAACGGCACCAGCAGCTGCACCTTCAACGGCACCAGCAGCGGCACCTTCCACGGCACCAGCAGCGGCACCTTCCACGGCACCAGCAGCGGCACCTTTACTACTTCGTCAACATGGCTCGTCGGTCGACTTGGCGACCATTGACTCTCTCGAGTTGCTGGGCGACAACTCAGCCGCCAACTGGCACTCGTATGCCCACTCCGTTGAGGTGTTGCTCTCCTCGGTTGTTGTCAGTGGATATTCCCTTCGTTCCGTCGTGTTCCAGGAGGAGGGTGGACTCCAGCCCACCGCCCCTTCCGCCCCCACTGGACCTGCTCCCGACGAGCCCGGACCTGAGCCCGAGCCTCCTGTTGATCCTCCCTCCTTCGCGCGGATGTCCACAACCCACAAGCGTGGAAAGTGCCATCCGTGCCTACCGCACCACACTCAACGACCACCTTCGCCGCCAACTACGCTATGAGGACGACAAGCGCACCTATGACGAGGCTGCTGCCCGACACCGCAAATACCAAGCCCGGCTCACCATGTATACCACACGCCTCGCCACCTACACCACTGACATTGCTGCGTGGCGCATTGCTGATCGCCGAGCTCTCGCCATCCTCCTCGCCACTATCCCTTCCTCCCTCAAACGAGAGCTTTTACCCCACCACCTCCTCCCACCTGTGGCAACTGCTTGTCGACCTCTTCGTGTAGTCAAGGCACGTGGGAGCGGGGGAGTCCTGGTGGTGGAGGAAGTGAGGCTGGCAGGCCGAGTAGAAGTTTCTTGGAGGCCATGTCAGCAAGTGTGCGGAAGTTTGGGTGCCCGAGCCGATGGTGGTAGAGTATGGTCGGGTTGGAGAAAACTGCGGCACGAGCATGATGAAGTAGTTGCCTCTGCTTGGGTGGTTGACACCTGTGGGATGGGTACTTGCAGCGTGTAAAGGCCGCTGCTGTTGAGGGTGAAATGAGTCAAGACCTTGTTGGTGAGTGGGTCGAGGATATCACCATAGTTCTCGTTCTCCCAGAAGATGGTGCGTAGCCCAGCTTCCTGAATTCCCGTTTGGGCCACGAGACTGTGGCGGAGGTGAAGGCACGCACATTCCAGTGACAGTGCCGGAAGGGAAGGCGGGGCACGGGACTGTGGATGAACCCTTGGCAAGAGTGGTGAAGCTTGAGTCAGCTCCTAGGAGAGGGATGGGTGTTGCGTAGGGTTTGAAGGAGAGTGTCTCCGTGAGCACAGTGTGAGTGGCGTCGCTGTCGAGTGTGAACTCTATGTATTGTGGTGCTTGTGATGAGCGATGTACTGGGAGGAAGCTTCATTAATCATGGCAGTGCCAGGGAACAACAGGTTGATACGCACATCAGTAGGAGCACTATCACTAGCAATAGCCGAAGCGGGGCCCTGGACCTCAACCAGGTTGGCCTTACGCGCACGCATCTAGTTCGGTGGCCTCTTGTCTATGCCGTGGATGGCGTACCATTCGTCGTCCTTCTTCTTGAAGCACGTAGCAAAGGGGGTGGTTAGTGCCACCACACACTTGTCCCTTGCGGTTGTCATACTTGACGACGTAGGTGCACGGTGGGAAGCGGTTGCGCTGGAAGGGTGCCGAGGCAAGGGCCGCTGCGACACTTGCTTGAGGCATGGGAGCACGGATGGCGTAGGCCTTGGCTTGAGCCGTGGAGTCTTCCTTGGCAGAGAAGAGTGTGGAGGAGACCTTGGCAAAAGTGAGGTCTTCCGCAGTCAGCGTGAGGAGCATCTTCCTTGTGATTTCGTACCCCCGGGTCGGGTCAGGGACTTCACCAGCTTGGCCCGGGTCTGGCCCAACCTGACCCGACCCGGGAACCCGGCCAACTCGGGTCGGGTCGGGCCGCCATGCCTTCTTCTTCACGGGTTACTGAGGCACCTAGAATTGCTGTTCTGTTAGTTCTACAAACAAGTCTCATCATCCCTTCTCACCATCATTCTCAAGCGCTCAGTGAGATGGAAGCTGGAGTTACGAAAGAGCTTCTAAGTCGAAGGGACTGTTGCACGTTTATCTTCGCGGAGCCGTTTTGCTTTGTTTGGCCAGGTCTGGGTCCGGGTCGGTGTGTAATGATATCATGGCACCCTTGTCGGGTTGTGACTTTTGCATGGATTAGCGTTTCGCTGTGCCGCCAGATCCCTGTAGATCTGGCACTAGCATGGTTGAAGCAGGCGGTGGGCAGGATGCTACGAGGTAAGGTTTACTCGAATTGCACCAACCGAGACTGATCTGGTTGTGTGAGAAGAGGTTGGAGACCTGGCCAGTTAGAGGTTTGACCCGAACCACGCATGGTTGCCAAAGGTTTGTAAAACACTGTATAACTAAACAACCACAGACCTCAAAATCCCCTATGAGTAGGCCACCGCGCTCTTGCTAGAGCTACAGTACGGAAACAGTGGCGAGCAGAGTAGGGTTCGGTCCAAGTCGAGCATGTTTGGTTTTGTTCGATCCTTAAGGTTTGATTTCAAGCCACGTCGAAACTCGATCGATTCGAAGCTATTTTGGTTCGTGTCAAGCCGGCAGAGGTTTTCGCATGGAAACCTGGACAATCTTGCACTTCGAGGAAGGGATGTCATAGGTTCGTGCATCTGGAATTTCGTGCACAATGTTGTTGCCGAACAACCGAAACCGAACCCGTTCACGTGGAACTGCACTCAAAGCTTCGACTCAAAGCTTCAACCACAGTCAACGAAACTCGAAACTCCAAACACCATGGTTTTTGGTTTGGCAAAACAAAACCGGTTCGGTTCGATTTTTTGGCCAGTTCGATCTGGTTCAAGCGGTACTTTTCTCAAGCCTAGATGCAGCTGAGGTCGTGTGGGAGAAAAAGGCAGAGAGTTTGATGTAAAAAAAGCTGGAAATATAAGAATGAGCCCCAATTATGTCAATCCAAGGGTCATATGTGTCCCACAGGACTCGGGTGTAATGGTTCCCTGTTAGGAATCAATAGGATTTTTCATAACACCGGAACCAGCCTGGGTCATCGAGCATCTATTTGCCCAGTGCGGGCCAGTCGATTCGACCAGCTCGATTGCAGGCTAGTTTGTCATGGCTGGCTGGTGCAAGAATATGTTCAACGAGCTGACAAGCTGGGTCTCGGCTTGTCAATTCAGCTCGATAACTCAGGGCCAGGCGACAGAGCTGCATTGCTGGCTCGGCCTGACTCAATTGTCAGCTCGATTGTTGATTGTAGAGCAATATTATCTATCATCGAGCTAAACAATGAGCTCCCAGTTTGACGGATTGCGGGACCTGTGTTAGGCATGCTCGTGTGTCTATGTGCCCTTGTACGGCAGCTATGGGTTTGGCCTGGGCCACGGGTTTTGAAGCAGCCTGGTTTGCCAGGCATATATCTACTCAGTGCGGAACAGGTCGGGCTGGCCCGTGAAAAATCAGGGAAGCTGCCCTTGGTTATGTGTACTAGAATGGATTGCAAGCATGAGCAGCCCATGTTTTGCATATTTGATGCATCAATGTGCTCTCAAATTGGTCCTTGGGAGTCCCCCAAAGTTCTCTCGCGTACTTGAGCACGGCCATACATATGTATGAGGGGAAGAGAAGACGCACACAAGGGCAAGGTTATGAGGCCCCCTAACTGAGCCTCCAGGGTTCCATTGCACAAAATAGTGGGTTTGAGCATAGGCCTATGACCAGCTTAGTCGTTCCATTGCACAACGAGCTGACTGGCCGATGAGATGAGTGGGCAGCTAATTAGGCATGTGGCTTATCTATGATACGCAAACCAATCGAGCTAGAACGAGATTGTACACCTCGCCACAATCTGTCAAATCTGCATGGAGATGGCAGTTTGCTGCCAGATATATGTGGATCTTGCGTTTTACCACCAAATTCAGATAAGGTAGAAAACTTTTTCATTGTCTTATCTATATGTAGTGCTCCCTTCCAGTGGCTGTGAGGTAGGAACGAGCAAGAATATCTTTTGAATACAGTGAATGCAGACCATATGTGCTCCTACTCAAATTCAATGCTACTCACCAGCGCCAGCTCACGTGTCAGGTGGGAGGACTCAAGCTTGTCATCTGGGTTGTCTCCACCAAATTTCCCCCAACCCCACAGCAGCAGAGTTGCAACCATCCCCCCAGCAAAATGCAATGCAACTGCAGCGAAACTACGCCAGCACACGCACCTCCTTGAAACGCAAGCAGAAAGCGCCCTCAACAGACCTTGTGCTCCACAAGCATGCGGGAGCTCATGAGGAACTTGCTGGCCTCATCCTGAGCCTGCGATAGCCACAAGCTCCATCCTCTCCGCTACAGCTTCAGCCTGCCCGTCCACAATGGAGGCCTGGCATGGCACCAGAGGCGGTGGCTGTGTCCTAGGAGGAAATGTGGACAGGGGAAAGTACACCCAGGAGAGACAGGTGCGTCCGGGACCAAGGGAGGTGGCAGCAGTGGGTGTAGTGTGCGGATCTGTGGCAGGGAAGAATGGAAGCCCATGTTGTGGTTCATAACTCGTTATGGTCCCATACGAAGCTTCGTGTGAGGAGGGAGCGTATGCACGCAGCACAGATTTGACTCGAGATCCATTCGGGGTGGAATTCGTGGGGAGATCCGGCGATTCCCCCGCTGCGCCGATGTCTCCATCACCAGGGGAATCTTTTCCAAGGCTGGATTTG